TTCCAAGTGCAAAGGGTTAACCCTCGCATGACGTACCGTAGCAGGGGCTGGCCGGGTCTCGCCCGACACACTAGCATCTGTATATACGCGTTCAACATTTGGCTGGGACGCGTGCATATAAGAGCTTCATTTCATTTCCTTTGATTTATTTATTTCTTGATTATTGCTAATATCATCGCAATAAAAGGTGGTAGGGAATAAAAAATTATTTATTTTTTATATTTATAATAAGTGCTCTTAAACATCCTCAATTTATGACATCGGCAATTTGCTATCGGGGGCTCTTGACAAAATTTACTATACCATACTTGGAAAAGACTCTGGTAAATGTTTCCCAAAGAACAGTTTCGTTAAAGTAAAAGTCATAAATTGCGCTAGTCATTTGCAAGACAGAGCACTTCTTTTATGCGTACAACCAAACACTACAAAAGAAGTAGTAAAGAATACTAAAATACTATTAATTATGTAATACAATACAATAATACAGTAAAAAAAACTGATAATAGTATATAATGTAACATTTATAAAATACTGAAATAGTACACTAAAGAATTCTCGCTTGTTTGCTATAACTACGTCTTCCAAACTGACTAACGTGTGAAGTCATTCAACATTAACACGTTGACTGCCATGCGCATTTTACGTGGTTCGCCCATGGCGCCAACATGAATATTTTATTATACGTGTTGAAATATTATTTACAACAGATAAGGTGAGTTGTATAATCGCGTTTAACGTATTTTTCGTGGTGGGGGTCACCAGTGACCCCCGAGACGCTGTAGACCATTTTTGCCATTATCAATTGTTTAAAAAGCAACTCGAGAAAATATTTCAATTCCCGATTTTAGGATGAAGTTAGCGATGTATTTAGTGAAATGTTCCGATGACGCAAATTGCATTTCATCGAGCAATTACATACAGAGAAAACGTCGTCGCGAATTTAAAAAGAAACCTAGAAGTGTGCGAAATGTAAGGCGATTTTGCAAAGTGCGCTATGAAAATAATTATAAAATTGTGCCGACTGTTTTGGTTCACTTTTTCTTTGTATAAATAAAATTATTTTTGCATGTTCTGTATGGCATTAATTTCTTCGAATCATTATAGTAACAATGGTACTATTTGAAAATTTATCAGTATCGATATTTACTCTAATTATGTATTTTTACTAATGGTCGCGTCGCCGGTCACCGGTGACCCCCATGGCAGTCAACGTGTTAACCACCGATTCGACTTTGTTTTCCTTAGCCACTCAATCGAATCACATATATACGCGTTTACACTGAAAACGGGTCACCGCAGACCCGACCATCGTCATACGAAGGTTAATTTATGCGTGTAGTGAAATGAAAAAAGTTAGAACATTTCATACCACGTCATACCAGAATCTATATACATTCAAAGCGAATGATTCTTAACTCATAAACGTTAATATGCATTACCAACGTTAATATTATGCTCATTTTGCCACATCCTCTTCGGTTATCTCGTAAAACTTATATTCTTTGAATCGTATAATTTTAGTTAAAGGCGCGAGACTTTCGTGTTCAGGTATCTCACAATTATCAAAATTAAAATTTCCAAGTGTAAACCGTGTTCTCTTGGAAGAAACATCCCAACGTTTCGCAAGTGTTATAGCTAGCTTCATCCAGAATCGAACGTTACGTCCACCTTGATATCGGTATCGTTAGACAGATGGATATAGATATGAATATTAATATTCTATACCTTCGACTTCCGACCCTTCGTGGTTGGAATGTATCTTTCAAAAGGAAAATATTGTTTTTTAACAAATATCTTTAACGATATAGTCCAAACGAAATATATTTCAGAGGATTACATGGTTTCTCGCGAATTAAGGTATCAACTTTAATTTGGATAAATTTATGTAACGTGACGATTCCTGTGAAAATAATACATTATAAAAAAAGGAAAAGGAAAAAATTACTAGTTTTATTTGAGTAATATAACAGAACACTAACTTACCGATCATAATGGCTGCCTTAGAAGTAGTTCTCTTGGCTCGGTAGGTAAGAGGCCTCGTCACAGAGAAATATCTGTCGAAGCTGATTATAAGAAGATTCAAAACTGATGCGTTACTGGCCAAGTAATCTAATGCTAGCCACGTGTCGCAGATATGCGGCCCCAACGGCCAATAGCCGAGCACAGTGTAAACTGTGAAGAGAGGCATGGAGATTAGACCGATCGCGAAATCAGCAACTGCTAGGCTGAACAGGAAATAATTGGAGATCGTTTGCAGTTGTTTGTCGATCTTGAACGAAATCATCACCATGATGTTACCGACAACGGTGGTCAGACTGAGGAAAACCGCGATGATAACGATCAACACGCGTTCCCATATTCTGTACGAGTGTAGTTCTCCTCCGCAATCGAGACCGTTGCTCACGTTGTAACTCTCGTTTGCAAAAATGTCCACGTCTGAAGTCACATTCATGTCTGAAGAGTTCACTATTGCCGAAAAATACTTTGTGCGTTCTGAAAGCGAGTTTTATTTCCCCGTGACAATAAATCAATTTCCTTTCTGTCTCCTTCCCTTCCTTCTTTCCTCAGCTTCTCGTTCCACGTACGTATGTTTCTCGTTTACTTTTCTACCTTTTATTTCCGGTGACTTTCAGCTTTCGCTCATTATTATCCCAAACGTATCGTCTATAATCGCTTCTGTGCTTTGTCACCTTGAGACTTCCTCTCTTTTAAAATTATTTTTCTCTGCCCCTAATAAAGTTCTACTGTTCGTAGAAATCGTTTTGCTCTTCTCTTCCTTTTTTTCTTTTTATTTTTTTTTGTTTTTTTTTTTGTTCAAATCCTTTGTTCTCCTACTTAAAGCAATTTGTTTTACATATAAAATTTTCTTATGGTACCAGCTAGTTTATCGTTTAGAATTCTTTTAAGCTATCCGTTTTCGGTCAGACCAGCTCGGTATAACTAATTTTCCTACGGCTACTCGTCTTTGTGCTCGTGTTTAACGTATTTCACGTTCGTTCTCATAGAAGCGATACCTCCAGGCTTCGTTTTCTCATTTGCGATCCTCGCTTCTAGCTTTGCGAACTATCCATCCTTACAATTTTAGCGAAAATACCTCTCGTTCCCTATTTCTCCTCCCTTTTGCCCTCTCTCTCTCGCTCTCTCTCTCTCTCTCTCTCTCTCCCCCTCGCCCCTTCTGTCCTTCCTCCCTCTCTCCCTCTCTCTCTCTCTCTCACACACACACACACACTCCCCCTCTCTTTCTCTCCCTCACTCTGTTTCTTGTCAGCTACTGTTCGTCTTCCCTGTGTATTCTGCAAATATTTCTCTACTCGTATGTTCTTCACATGTCACGTGTCCGGCCAGAACATCTTTCTTCGAAATCCGGTCTCTCTGCAGGCTCTACCC